GCAGCGTTTGGGGTAAAGTCCCTTCAAGCAGAAAGGGAATCTACAAAATGAGGGCTAAAGAAACACTGATAAGAACAGAAAACAAACAAACAAACAAAAAAGATCATATGAGAGACAATTTTTACAGACAATAATTAATTACGAAAAAAACAACTGGTATTTAAACTACTGAAATCATACAATAATTATTGCTGTTTTTTCCCCTCTACTGAAGTATTAACATGGGGATGTCAAACAGCAGCAGATTCTGTAAATGCATTAGCATTAGCTCATTTAATGGCACTGTTGATGATAATGAGATGTTCGGTACCATTGGACTCACACAGGACAGACTGTGCTGACAGGAAACTGGGCTCCAGGACACACAGTGCCAGAGAACAAATGTAGGTCACACCAACTAAGCAAAAGACTGACGATTCTCCTCAATTCAAATAGTGAAAGTAGGGAGAACGTCCAGATGATTATAGATTTTACACAGACAACAGAACTAACTCCATATTACTGCAATAGTGCAGTAAGTGGGAGGAACTTCTGATCCACAGTGATTTAATTTTATGGCTGCCTGATTTGATAAACTGCCTATGTTTTATTGATTCTATTATTTAAGTCTGTTTTCCACCAAAGCCTACGGTAAACAGGTGTCAGTGATGAAACCAGCTTCAGCTGCCAAAAAGGTCACACTCTTGTGTTCTCATGTATGCTTTCTCAACATGTATCACACCAGTCATCACTAACATCTCAGAAAATTAAATTCAGATTCATGTTTTGTTTTCCTCTATCAACTACTTCTTGATCGATCCATCGTCTCAGTTTTCAGTTACACCCACCTTCTCTATCTACTTAAACCTGTTAAATCCTATACTGACATTTGGGAACTTGTTTCTCTCTGCACCTCCTCCTGCTGTGTTACCTTTAACTGTGTATCAACAGAAAAACAAGGTCGAAAAGAACAATAGTACACACCGGCTAAAGGATGAAAACCACACTCTTTGCCGTGCTAGCAAAACAACTCTAGGGGAAGGAGAACCTTTATAAATGAATGTCGTCTTTTCATCTTTTGATGAAAAAAAGGAACATGGAAAAAAAGGAGTTGGACTGACCAAAAGAGGGCCTTAAGTTAGTTAAAAAGAAAAACCAGGGCTGCGTAACTAATATAAAGGAGTTACCTCCAAGGATCAAAGGTAAACTTTTTAGTCATTCCATGCAGCCCAATACCAAATTATTCTATTATTCTGGCACTAGTGCCCCGCCCAGAGGTTGGGGACCCTGTGGTAGAGGAAGCAGACAGGGCAAGACCAAAAGATGCAGGATAAATTGTTTGAGGTTCACTTGAAAACAACCAATATTTATGATTTGATTTTGGTGGTAATAGCAGAGTTAGTGTCTGATTGTTACATTTTAATGCAAAACTGTGACTGGTTATGGCTAAAGTGTTGGTAGAACCAGAACAACAAGAAGAATGAAGTCATACAGGGACATAATTACCTGTGTCCATCTTTCCATCTTGAGCAGCAGGTCCATCTGGAATCACACTCTTCACTTGCAGAAACTCATCTGGTTCGTCACCTCCTATAATTGTAAAGCCAAATCCCATGTTGCTTTTTTGAAGGCCTGTGGACAGGAAGGTGCCCTTCAGCTGGGTCGGGTCTCTTGTGAATAAGGACTTCTCTACAATGAGACAGAGTTTGCAAGAAGGTTATATTTGACATTTAAAAACACAGTTTTTCACAAAGTGCACATCATTTTTTTTAAATTCCAGACAGGATGAGTCACAACATATACAGAGGTCTGGCTCGGTTGAAGTTTTGCCTCAGTTGAAGTTGTAAACGTTGACCATGTTTATGTAACAGTGTGTGATTCCATATGTTTAGATCGGTGTCCTCTACATGTACCTCTGTAGATGGTGGGTAACGGTAGAGCAGACAGACCCTGGCTCTGAATCTGTCGTTGTTGCTCCAGACGTCTCTTGGCTTCTACAACTGGGTTCTCAAACTGAGTCCTTCTGTTGATGTGACTGATTTTAGGGTACAACAAATACATACATTAATCTAATGAAGACATAAATAAAATTCAGAATTACCAATAAAGACGACAGCAGTATCTGACTCATTTTGCTCATTTTGAGTCTAATTATTTACTTGGTTTTGCTCTTTACTAATTCATGTTTAAATACCTGACTTGGGGCTATGCTAATTCAAAAACAATGAATTCCAATTGAGTTGGAACAGACATAATGCATCTTTAAATGTATCGGACTAATTGCAGAATATTATGGTCAAATCTTGCAAATACGTTTTTTTCTTAATTAAAAACTAATAAGAATTCAAAAGAACATGAACAAATAAGCATTTCTTCACATCCAAATGAAAAAGTCACAGAAATTCCACAGAGAATGTTACTTATAGTGTTTGAGTGTTTGAACTTACTCTACATAGTAGCTGCCATAGATGGGGTCGTCTATCTTCTCCCAGCCATAGGGCAGCTCTGAGTGGAAAAACATATGGAAAGATATGAAGTCAGTTTGCACAGAGGGAAAGTGCTGACACTACATGTAACTAGGGATGTCTGATATTAACTTTTTGCCAATATCCAATAAGCCGATATTGTCCAAACACTTCATTTCCAATTCCGATATCAACCAATACCAATATAGCGAGGCAGTGGTGGCCTGGTATGTAAGGAATTTAGTGCCAACTGCTCATCAAGGTGATGGGTTAAAGCAGTGTTTCTCAATTATTATTATAGATATTACATAATTATGCTAATATCAGGCTGATATTATCAGTCGGCCGATATTATCGGACATCCCTACATGCACAGTAATCCCTTGCCTATCGCAGGAGTTGCATCCCAAGACCCACCGCAAACTGGGAAAAATTGCGAAGTAGAGGTGAGATAGTTAGTATTACCCTTCCCCACACAATTATAGGCACAGTAGAGTTGTATAATGGCAACGCAGAGCGAAGTGAACGAGAGAGTGGCCGACAGACAAGGGGAGATGCTGAGAGATGCTATGATGCATGAGCCAATCAGAGTGAGGAACAGAAGAGCATGCTCAATTAGCCAACAGTACACCAACTAGGCGTTGCATTAGCCAATAGTATGCTGTGTACCATCTCGTCTAGGTAAACAAAGCTACCAGTGAAGCCAAAACTTACATATGTATAATTATTTCAAAATGTCTTTTATTTTCTTTTTTTTATATTTTGCGATATAGCGAACATTTCATGAGATTAGATTAAAAAAATCTGTGACGTGCTGAGGGAGTGAAAGGAGATGTAGAGAGGGAACACTGTAACTGCTGAGGAGAGACAACATCAATCTTAGCGCATGAGCCGTGCTGTTTTAATGGAGACACAGAACTTGTATTTTGCCATTTTTTGTCACTTTCCTATTCTGGTCCGGACGTCAGGACCTTAACAACTCTCCTTTTTTCCTTCTCCTATTCCTCTTTTTATTCTTGAATGACTTCCATTCCACTGCTGTGTCAATCATGTCCTCTTGTTGCTTGTGTGCATTTCTGTTCCCACCTCATTCTGATCAAGAATTAACTGCTAACGTTGCCGTAATCTGTATGGCGTCTGCAATCCCAGCTCCTCGGCAACACACCTAAACACATCTCTCTCTGCTGGGGTACACGCAGGCAGTTTATAGCTTAATTACTTAGCCCTCACAAAGACAATATTAACACAAGAGGATTGAGACACCGAGGTAACAGAAGTACACCTACTACCACACATGTACCCTTCTGTTTTACACTAGCACTACATGTTCCCAATTAGTCCTCCTGACAGAACAATACTGAAGACTGTGTTTTCTTAAGACCATACTGGAGGTCACCCAGACCTGGTTTGGCCTTTTTACCCAAACGCAACACACAAAGATATATTAATGTTAATATGAAATACATTTAAAAAGTAGGTGCAGCTAACAAATGAGGTTAGGTGTGTAAGTAGGAAAGTATAAAGTGTAGGAAAATTTGTATGTACTGAAGATAGTCTTTCATTTTCATATATTTATACAGTTGTGTCAAAGAACACAAACTGATGTCAAATACAATTGTTAATTGTTCAGCAGAGCAGACTCGCTGTCCTTGCACAGTACTGTAGCTTTAAATAACAACACAGCTATGAGTGAATTTGTGAACATTTCTAAAATAGCTTTTCAAATTAACATGCATAAAAAAAATTGTCACCAAGCAATTTGTTTCTTTTGTATAACTGTATTCAGTGGATGAAGCCACACCCAATGCTGAAAACAAAATAAAATAAAATGTCAATATAACACATCTAGTGCAGCATGTGGGCTGTGCACTGTGAGGGGAAAAGGGAGTATGCTGCAATTATCTGTTCTCTGAGTGTTCAGACTCAGACAGTCTGTGCTGTAGACCGCTATTACCTCAAACAACCTCGGTTGTCTGTACACTGCACAGACAGACTGCCTTAAATTCTCTCCCAGTATCAATGAGCCACCTTAAATATTGGACTTTACGCTGCCACAAGTCGTTCAGCCCCCCCCCCCCCCCCCAGTAAAGGTAGACAGTTTCCATGACAACCACAAGTGGACTTTTTTCTTAAGAACTGACAGCTCTGTTTCCCTCGTTATTTTGTGAATTTACGAAGTCTTTGTATGTAGTCAACGAGTAATTGGTTTTTGTCCTTTAACATGAACTCCTGTTGAGTTGACTCATCCTTCTTTTCACACTATTTTAGTTTCTCTCAATAAATAGCGGCCAGACATGGATGCAATGACCTCATAGGAGTCAAAACCAGAACTGGACCATAAATGCTCAATCTAAAACCATCACAGACCATTTGTAGAAAAATAAAAATGTCTTCATGTCAAATTATGTTTCTGGTATGACCTTAACAGGACCGTAAAGGTAAATAAATCATCATCTTTATATGTTACATGTTACCTCCATACAACTTTTTCATGTCCGATACGATACTGCAACTTGGTGTATCTGTCGATACCGATATCAATCCAATACCTTCTTTTCTCCTTGGGCTGCCATTACTGAAGTGATAGTGTCGCTTATGTCACTTGATGCATTCAATGTCGGCAAACGGAAAACCAGCTTCAGCTGCCAAAAAGGTCACACTCTTGTGTTCTCATGTATGCTTTCTCAACATGTATCACACCAGTCATCACTAACATCTCAGAAAATTAAATTCAGATTCATGTTTTGTTTTCCTCTATCAACTACTTCTTGATCGATCCATCGTCTCAGTTTTCAGTTACACCCACCTTCTCTATCTACTTAAACCTGTTAAATCCTATACTGACATTTGGGAACTGGTTTCTCCCTGCACCTCCTCCTGCTGTGTTACCTTTAACTGTGTATCAACAGAAAAACAAGGTCAAAACTTAATTAACAACTGTTAAGTTAAGTTCAGCATTTCTTGTTATTTTTTTTGTTGTTCGATCCTAAAATTTTGACCAATACCAGACCATTACCAATACTGAGTACCAGATCGAGCCTTCTTTACTACCAACCATAGCCTTTGCCTTGTCCTTTTATCATTTGCTATGTTTCTTGAATTTCAAATTGCATGCTCCTTATTGAGCAATAGGGCAGCATATCATAATCAACAAGCAGAATGAAATATGTATAGATTACTAAAACTGACAATGAACCTCAGTATGTATCAATGTCAAAACAGTTTTTCAAGGATCAGCCTTTAAAGGTGTGGCGGATGAATATAACAATGATACGACCCGAATAAAAACTAGTATTTTCGAAATATATTAATAAACACGGTATATGCAACTTTATTAGCATCGTAACATCGCTCTTGTGTTTTAATGCTGAACGCTTGGTCTCCAAGTGGCGCAGTTTTGTAGGCTTCATCGTCTCATTAGAGAGCCGTTCGCCGCGTATTGTGCATGGCGACCTAGGTCTGTGGGAACAACCTGGTAAGACTCCTGGAATTGTCTGTTAAATGCAGCTTACGTTTTCTTTGAAGACGTAGGCTCTTTTACCAAAGAACCTTTCCAAAGACGTCTGTTTTCTGTTCATTTTGCTAGCTTGGAGGTTTCAATTTAGCGGTATTATGTGTTACCGACCGGAGCACACCTATTCAGAAGGTAGCAGACGTAGGTAAGACATGTGACCGAGGCAAGCATCTTGACATGCATCAAGTGTGAGTCATAGACAGATGCGGCGGAGAGAATCCGGTGATTTTTCAAAATAAAACATCGTTCAGCATCAGATAATAATATATAAAATCCTCAGCTGGGCAGAATGACGTGCACTGTATATCCAATAATTCCACTGTCCTTCTAATTAATGTTGCTCTAATACACAGTCGACACACTTTGCACTCTTCTTACTGCCCTTGTGATGAGCCAGGTATGACACTTTGTTTTTGATTTAGTCTGACTCTCACTATGTACACAGTGGTAGAGTTTTCCAGTTTAATGGACATAATAGCTTTTATTGATTTCATTGTCCCTTGAGCAGCGCTGATGGGGCATGCTTGGTTAAATGTATGCATTTTAGTGCCAATTAATGTGATTTGGTAAATCCATATGATGCTGGTCATGTTTGAGATTATAATGATAACCCTGTGTGCGTGTGTGTTTGTGTGTGTGTATGTGCGGGTGTACAGAGGGCAGTAGGACAAAAAAAAGGCTCAAGCCATGTTATTAGAATTCTTGTCACAATTCGGCCCTTTCCTAGATGTGGAGAGAATGAACGAGAAAGTGAGAAAAGAGGGAGAGGCAGGGAGAGAGCGAGAGAGAGAGAGAGAGAGAGAGAGAAACATAGAGGGACAGAAAAAAGAAAAGGGGATGCAGAGAACGAAAGAAAAAAACAGAAGCTAAAAAAGGGTGATTGAAAGGGTGACAGTACAGTGAGGAGAGCGGAGGGGAAAGGAGAAAATTGAGAAGATAGAGAACAGAGGGAGTTGGAGAGGAGATATTGATCTAGATCTTGCTCTGGTAAATCACATCATCTTATCTGCAGACCAAAGGCTGTGACACAGGCAGAGCTGTAGGATCAGCCTGTTGTTACCTGATCAAACCAAAACACCACGGAAGCTCTTTTCAAAATCGGTTATTATATAAATCTTTTGTTTTTATTTAAAGAAGAAATCCTTGGAAAAGATAAAATCCAATGCAGTGATCTTGGTCATATGTAGACCTTAAGTGGTTACAGCTTGCACCCTCTCTTTGTCACCAAAAAAATAAAAATAAATGAGTCACTCGATTCTGCATACACCACACTGCAGCTGCAAATCACTAGAGCAATATTTTCAGGGACCGTGTTAAAGTGCCAGAGTATAAATGTGAAGAACCATGAAATGATGAACCGATTAAAAGAGAATAACAGCTATTTCTGCTCAGAAATATACTTATGTCTTATTCACAGTACTGTTCAGTATTACATACATACCATATAAATAGAACGCTACTGTAGCTAATGCACCCATGAAGTACAAAAGTAGATAGAGTAAATAAATCATTGTTCTTAATATACAAAATATACAAAAGGAAGTATTCTTTGATCATTTTACTAACATACTAACATACTAACATCTTACTAAAATATAACATATTTTTAAAGTGAGAGGAGGATAAGATTGAAAACAATCTATGAAAATAGGGATAAAAAAAGTGCGACTTATAGTTTGGAAAATACAGTAATTACCATATTTATTTAAAGAATATTCTTTCTTTACATCCTTATTCGTATTGTCCCCACAAGTAGGTAGAAAAGAAGGCTATGAGCAATGTAGATTTATTCCCTCTAATCGCAAGAGGAGAAAACACTGTCGAGCAGCCAGAGAACAAACAGCTAAAGCACAGAAAACAATATACTTTCACAAGCACTTAGAGACGGGTCTGAATGACTGATGAAACAAGACAAAAGAGTAAACAGGTTGATGAAACTCACCGTCTTCTCTGCATTCTTCTGGTGGCTTTGCTTTCTTTGCGAGCCGAGGATCCAGCCATGATGTGGTTTTGGTGTTGTGACTGGAGTGGAAGGAGAGAAATGAACGTGTAGGTAAGAGGAATGGTGAAAGGCCGGGAGAAAGCAAAGGTAAGAAAGTTCCTGACAGTGAGTAGAATCACAGGAGATGAATGTCTCTGATCGTCCCTTGGCCAATTATTAAGAGTGAGGGGAGAGGACAAAAGGAGACAGACAGCACTGGCATTTGTGTACACAGATTTTGTATTCCTGAGAAGCAGAGTCGAGCTGAGGTCAGCAACAATGAATATTTACTTGACATTGCAATAATTGCTGAACAGAGAGAAACCTCTGTAATATGTGCAAATACTTAACTAACTTAACTAACTAATTTTACAGTTTTTATTACCTCCAATAGTTCAGTTATTATTTCTGTTATTTATTTATTCTTTTTGACCTCCAATACTTCACAGTAACATATCTACAAACTCAACTTACACTAAAACTACTGTTCAGTTATATAGTTACTTGTATTATCTCATACTGGTATTACAGCATCTTTTCCTTTCAGCAGATTTTTTTTTTGTTACAGACAGAGTCCTACAGTAAATACTCTGTAAAAGACTAAAGACAGAAGGCACATATTTATTGCAGGAAAATGTACCAGGAATTAAAGACAATATCTGAAAAATGTAACACGCAAAAAAAAAACCCAAACATACTGTAAATGTTTTTGGCTGAAAATAATCACCTGCTCCACAGGTAGAGCCGTCACGGTTAACCTGAACTGCTGAGTTGCAGAGCTAATTTTACAGCTGATAAAATGTCACCTTCTTTTTGTTTGTTTGTTTTTAAAGACTGACACATTTGATTGATTTCGCATCGACTTACTCTATAAAGTAGACCTCCCCCTTCTCCGTGTAGGCCATCTCCCAGTTGTCAGGCAGAGGGCCCAGCTCCTCCTCATCTGCATCTGGGACTTTGCCGGGAGATTTAGGGGGAGAACTTGGAGCCTCTTCTCCTTCGGTGTTGACCTCGATGGAGGCCGGCGCCTGGCTGGACACGTCAACGGCAACCTCGCCAGAGGCATCTGTGCTCTTGTCCTCGTGTTCACTGGACTCTGGAGTTTACATACAAATACAGACCCAAAGACTGTGAGTGAAAAGAAAGCTGAAATGTAGTCACATCATGAAGAAACGAAAGAATGTCTTGAAGATAAAGAAAAAATAATCAGGAAGGCCTTTAAATTTTTAATCACAACAGTCCTTACCCGGAATTATTAAGATTATTGAGGAACTTTTCAGATGATTGTTTCATGTGGTACACATTGAAATATCTTTTTAAAAAAGCATAAAAGTAATTATACAAAAATGTAACCACATAGCTAAACAGTAAAAAATATGTCTGCCTGGGGTTTGACTATGTCTGGAAACATTAAATAGATTGGATCAGCTGCACTGGTGATGAAAGTCTGCCTGAAATGATCGGATTTGACAAAATCAATGCAGTCTGAACAAAGCCTCAGAGAAAATGGAGAAACGACGCCACATTAAACGCAGCTTCATTCCTGACTTCAGTGACCTGACAGTGCGTAGCTGTCTGTATCGGCAGTGTGTCTGCAGGATGTTGTTCACCTGCACTAGTAACAGGTCACCTCAAGGACACAGTAAAAGGCAGTGTGCAACCTTTGTCACATTTAAATTGAGTGTTTGTCAACCTTGGTGCCGTGACCCCACATGGGGTCGCCTGGAATTCAAATTGGGTCACCTGAAGTCTAGTAATTAATAAAACAAATTACTAATAAAAATATGTTTTCAACTAATTATTTACAACTAAAAGGACCACACACAATCTTAAACAAATTAAATAATTATTAATAATTAATTTACTAATTAATTTTAAATAAAAGTATTAACCACTTTCATGAATATACATAGAGTTTAAATAAAATGCACAATATAAAAACCAGGGATGTCCGATATTAACTTTTTGCCGATATCCAAGTACTGGATTAAAGGGAGAGGATACATTTGTGCTGCTCACAATGACAATACTGTGTCTATTATTTTTTTTTTTAAATGTTTAGTTCGCATCATCTGGGCCAAACCCAGGCATTACGTTATCGGGTTTTTATTATCGGAGGAAAAACCGATAACGATTCTTACCAATATTACATCCCTAAGCTAATATCGGCCGATAATACTGGACATCCTTAATTAAAATATCAGAGCTGGTGCTGGAACATAAAATGTCACTTTGTGCACTTATCTGGTCCTGGAATTGCAACACAGTATGAAAAACATGATCAAAAACTAAATCTAGGAAGAAAAGTTTGTGAATGAGATCACAGTCACTGCACTCAATTATACAAAGCACATTTAACTGATTTATAAGCCACTGCTTTTACACTGCGCTTTTTCTTTTTAAATGTCAATGATGCTAGTAAGACAGGGGCAATAAGAAAAAAATGAAGTGAAGAAAGACGGGGCTGCACAGGCAAAAGAGGGGAAGCTGGAGCAGAGGATGTTGCATAAAAGGATGGGGAGAAAAGGGTGAGTTATTAATGGAAACAAGGACAAAGGCCAGCAGTGGGAAAATAAAGACAGAAATAAGAGGACAGCAAGACAGAAGCAAAAGCCAAAATGAGACTGTAGACAGTAATGTGTGATGAGCAGTTAGGGCTGTGAACGGTCATAGATGAAATTATTTATAATACTTATTATATCAAAATAAGACACATGTTGAACAGTTCATAATAAAAACACTTAGAGTGGTTTTAGTATGTTTTTTCCCTTCATTTCTTCTTCACCTCACCTGGTGTGATGGCCACCCCGTTGCCGTTGACAACTGGACTCTCCTCTTCCTCTTCCTCAGGCGGCTCCAGGCTGGCACGCTGCTCCATGTTGCTTACCGACTGGTTTCTCTTCCTCTTGCCCTGTGCGCTGGGCCGGGCACCAGGTAACAAGGCCTCACTCACATTCAGAGGAGGAGCTGCAGGGGAGGGCTCTGCTGGAGGCTTCGGTGTCCCGTAGAAGTTGTCTGAGCACAGAGAGGCGTGAGAGTGTTTGAATGAATGGCCATATGTATGGATACCCCAGGTGATAATAAGCACAGTCCGTTAAGCAGAAGTAAGCCTAGTTCGAGAGCATTAAAAAGTGACTGCCTTTTGACTTTTTCCCCGTAGAGATTTTTCCTTCATTGAGAAAAGCTCACTTCTGTCAAACACTAGAAAACAAAAAAGAAGGACTTAGTGCAAGGACACGAACAATGTCAGATTTTAGGTCATGTTTAAGTTAAGAAAACGATCTACTGCTTTCACAGCCTAATGAGGCAGTGTTTTAAAAATACATATGACAGGAATTTCCAAGAAATATAATACTATGATGATCACAAAATAATATGAATAATAATTAATAATAATAATAATATGACAATATAATTACAGTTCCATTTAATGTTAATAGTTTATGTCATGTCATCTCTGGATAAACAGAAAAGTCTGACAGAAGAAGAGGCGTTGTTATACTGCAGTCAACAGAGAACCTCAGAGACATTTTGCCCATGATGGCAGGTAACAATAAATATTAAAAGTGAAAAACAGCATTAGTGTACGTTCTGTTCTGGTACTGCTGATGTGGCAAATATTAAGTGCAGTGTGTACAGGTCCACTGAGTGTTTACTCTTAAAAACAGCAATAGTATAAGAACCATAAAATGACTTGAGCTGTGTCATTTTGTTATTCAACCAAAATATAGCTGTACCAGTATTTTTTTAAATGAGTGTCAATATATTGTATTGGTTGTGATGCACATTCTACTCCTTTATGTAGATATAAAACTGATCTTTACATTGTATTTTTACAATGTCAACGCCTCTGAAGGCGTGTGCTTTCGTTTTAGGAGGGGTCCAAATTTTATACCTAGTTGGATCTCAGGGTTTTAAACCTTATAAGGTTTTATTCAATCAGGTTTCCAACCTAAAAAAATGACATTTTGAAATCAGAACTTCACAGTTTTAACCAAACCCAAAAGGAAACATACTGAAGTTTTGTTTCATTTACTTTTCCAATAACAGAAGGCTTCAATTTTTGTCATTAAATGATCACACCTCTCCGTTCCCTTAGCCCTGAAATCCACCCTCCCCCCCGTCCCCCCGATAATTGAAATACTATTGAGAACTCTATATTTTTATCTGTACAAACCACTGTATGAGTTGCTGCCACCTAGTCAGGCTTGTTATCATTCAAGCATTACAGCAGTGGTGCACTTGTGGCACGGTGGACATGGGGGGCGGGTACCCCACTATTTGAGAAGTACTGGATTTCAGGGGCTGTGTGCATATTCCCCAACAAAAAGATTTAGGTATTTTTTTTAAATTACTATAAAAAAAAGAGCACTTTAAGCATCACCTTGATGAAGAACAGGCAGACACAGACAGACTCTAACATCTAACGTTAGATCACACAGCACTAGTACAGACAAACGGTGAGGGGAGCTCAAAGAACAGACGATACGGCTCTGAGCCAAACATTAGTTTTGAATAATACTGTCTATGAGAGCAGTAATTGCACTGTGATGAAAACAAACCGGTGATGCACATTTAAATATAATAAAAAATACATACATTTTTTTGTTGTTTAACATTAGTTTTATATCTTTTCATTTATTTGGTTGTCACCCAAATTGTATTTGTATTGTAACACTGTACTCACTGTGTGATTAATTGGGATTAGTCAATTCATTAGCCTCTAACTCACGTGTGTCAAACTCAAGGCCCGGGGCCCATATACAACCCGGCAAGTCATTTTGTGTGGCAAAGCATTTACTAAAGTCCATGCAGCGGAGTTTCTTAACCTAATAAATTAAAAATGTTTTTGTTACACAGCTATGAACAATATGAGAGACAAAAAGAGTCAAATATTTAACAGAAATGTGCTCCTATTTCTCTTTACAGTTACAAAAAAGCTCACCTTCATATGTTCCACTCTCTAGCAGGGCTCCACTTTGCTCCAGTTCCATAAAACGCTCTACACTCACAAAGTTGTAGTCCACCCCCGGCACCTCCCCTTCCTTAGGCTGCCTTGTGGTACCTAGAGAGAAAGAGAGAGAGAGAGAAAGAAAAACAAGAAAGAGAAAGGTCATCAGAGGCAAATGGGGCACTTAAGAAGAAGAGGCAGGAAGGCAAGGAAAGAGTCCAGAAAAAGGCTGTACCAAAAAAAAAAAAAAAAAGCAGGACATTTTAGGCCAAAAACATGAGCAGGAGGAAGTAGGTTGAAAAGGGAAATGGTACAGAAAAGGGTAGAGTGAAGAGCACCATCACTAGTGGTAGCCAAAATTCTTTCAACTGAGTGTGAGTGACAGGGAGATGGAGAGAGACACGGGAAGAAGGAGATCAAGAGGAGGAGGGAAATCATACTGAACAGGCCTTTACTCCCAATCCAATCCACTTTTCTTTTTTTTTTACCACATTTAAAAGACACACGGTCGCCGAAGTGCTGTAGCTATATAATAAAGAGATTTTATAAGATAATATGTGATAAGACTTAAAAGACAGGCAGAGACAAAATGATTCTCTGTCTGGTAAAAAGCCAAGAAGTAAAAGTGAGTTATAAGCAGTTCTTCTAACTAAGACATAGTTTTCTAGTGATTCAATTTGTGCCGATTCTGTCTATAAATCATCTCATCATCAATTAAAATGTTAGATTTTAATTTACCTTTTTAGAACAAATTCTGTGAACTTGTCCCACTGAATCGTTTCCAAAGCATAGAAATAAATCATTATAATTATAAAGCGTTTGCAAATCGCTTTGCAAATTGCAAAAAACATTGGGGACCGTTGCACTAAAGGCCATCGCAAATGGACATCAGAAAAAAGGCTGGTGTTTTACAATAGAACACCAGCCTTAGAAGCTCTACTGCAAAATATGTCTTTCATTGATGGCTGTGATCTTGAGAACCTTATAGTGCTACTTCACTTCACTTTCTCTGAGTTGTTTACAGGACACTGGGTGCTTGAACTTTATTTGCTCTCCTATCTAGTTTTTCTGACGTCTTTACTTGCATTGACATTTTTTTAACAGGCTGCACAAGTTAGCCTTCAGAAAGGTGTATGAATCATTTGAGACGGAAGGTTCCATAAGAGTAAACTTACAGAGTGTAATGTGTCAAAATCATGTCAACAACAAACCTTTTTTGTGATTAAATTGAGTCAAAATTGTTTTCGTACTCAAGGATTAGTTGCACAGCCCTACTTAGCAACAAGCCTATGGCTTCAGCACATCTATAAGACCAACCAGGGCAATAAGTATCACATTATGATCTGTGCTGCATGTTCAATTTAGATTCAAGACCATCCTTTGTGTGCGGAGTGTCCTTTGAACACCACAGTGAAGCCGAGCCGGTGGCCTTCCACCAGTTTTAGCTATAGATCTTTTAGATCAGAATCATTCTGCTGTCCAGACCACAGCAGGCACAGCCAACTGGAACCCTGACAATCTGCAGATGGCGTTCACCTGCAGCTTCCCTTACAGAGTGTGTATCTAAGAAGGTAAACGTGATCACCTCTTTGGCCTTAAGACAGAAAGACATTTTCCTCTTTCCATTCCAAAATCTTCAGCACATTTAAAAATGTTTTACTTGGTGTCTTCCATTTTTGCTACCTCCACCCTCATTCTTCTTAGTTTTATGAAGACTCTTTTAGTTTAACCAAACTGTTCTTAGGAAAATGCTATTTTTAAAGCTGCCTTGTTCTTTTTCTAAAAACTCAGAACCAGAACACAATGCGCTGCAGACTACACACAGCTTCAAATGATCCAAAGTATAAATACAACGTTTTTATCTTAAAATATAAAGATTTGTAGAGTATGTGCATTTATTAAACATTTGCCAGTTTCCAATAGCTGGACAGTACTTTTAGATACTATTAGCAGAACAGATTTCTCTGGCTATTTCCAGCTATATGACTTTGCAGTGTTTCGATTTCTTCTGTTTCCCAAAATATCATTTTCATCTGGTGTGGATTTCATTCTCAAAGTCAATTCAATGTTTTATATTATATACTTTATATATATTATTATATTACAACCTGTCTTTGGCCTCACTCAAATTTAAAATTTGACTCCAAGTGATCACAAAAACAGCATAATAGGATACACAATCATTTTGACACACTCTAATACTGCTTTTCGTCTCCAATGACTCCCGCACGCTCCCTTAAACCTTAGGTTGTTCTTGAGCAGCAGGAGATGAAGAGGAGCAGCAGAACTGACTAATAGCGAAGCGGAACCACATCCACGTCGTCAGCGTCACGACACATTCTCGAGTACACCTGCAGTACTACCAGCTTTACTGGGTATGTTTACTGTTATCTTTGGACCATTATTTTTTATTTAATTATGCATGACAGAACATAGTTGAGAACCACTGAGGTAATGCAATGTGTTTCATAAAGGTTATGATTTGAATACTGATGTAATTGTGCTCATGGTTTTTATTTATTTTTTAATTGAGCACTCTGCCCTAGGTTCAGCCTCCAAATGTTTTATAATTCTATTAATTTAAACGTGATTATTATTATTTCCATTCTTAGTCATTTTAGCTAGGTCGATTCATTGTTTATTCAGAGGGTGATAAAAATGACTCATATATAGTCAGTCAATGCCGGCAAACCTCTTACAGCACAGGCTGGTAATCCAAGTACAGTAGGAAGGCCATTTGGATTGATAGCTTAAATAACATCAACCTATGGCAGCATAGTAAAACACCAGATAGCCACCAGTCCTAGGGCTAAAGACAATCTCCGTCCCAAATATTTAAAATTAATGACATGAATTTATAAAAAAAAAATTTAAAATTAATGACATGAATTTATAACAAAAAAAGGGGGGGAAGACGGGGCATAACAAGAAAACTCCATTTGGATTTTTAACTGATATTCTAAAATATCTCAAGTGACTGTGTGGCGACAAAGATATCTGCTAAATAATAGAGTGAAAGTAAAGTGGGAAGCAAAACAACGCAGACGACAGAAGAGGACGGGATTTGTTTCTTTTGTGCTATTATTGAGATATTTTGACTTATAACCAAAATCTGAAAATTTTATTTTTTAGGAATCAAGTTTGTTTAACAAAAATACAAAAAAACCATACTTTTTAAGTGTAGGCATGTTACCTCACTGTCACTCCAGCTTCAGGGTCTCACCACACTATAACAACAGAGGAAAATGAGAGTTTGCTCTGTGAGGTTAAATACATATTAAAAAATATTCCTCCATTTGGGCTAAAGCAAAAAAAAAAAAAAGCTGTTATGTAATTCTGGCCAGCGGACCACGCTAGTCTCCACTAACGTTCACAAATGCCGTATCAAGTGTGACGTTTTGAATAAGATTTATTCAATAATGCTTATCCTAGCTCGTGCACTCTAAAAAATGCATTATTTATGTAATGATGTTAGCTCCACTGAGATAGTGCTACATTATATCTTGGATACTTTTCTGTGTATGCTTATGCAATACTTGGTGTACTGCAGCTGAGCAGCTTTGGCTTCAAATAGTTTGAGAGTAAGTGGGCTAGCTCAATTGCTAACCGCTAAAAGAGTAGCTTAATTGCCCAAGAGAAACGTGAAACTCAAGCTTCACTTTAACTAGTCTTATAGAACTAAAGCAATCTTTGCCATATTTATCACAAATTTGTCCGTTATTTTGAAATACACGAAATACAGCGTGAAAGAAAAGAGAACAAAAAGCCTGATTACTTCCAGCATGCATTTACAGGAGCTTGCAAATGAGCTGGATGCTGAACATGAATGCACCGTACACATGTTTATATAATGAGAGAAGGAGTCAGCAAGAGGGAGCCTCAGAGCCAAAAATAGACCATCGATGGACTTATTACACTAATAAAGGGTGAGGGGAAAGTGGTCAATTACTGTCTCAGTTTGAAAATGTGGGAACGAGGAGATTGGAGAGGAGGTGTCCAGTATGTATGTGAAGCGTAACCATAAAAGTAGGAGCAGGAGAAATTATACTCTGAAGAGTTCCACGGCTCAAAGCTGAAGAACTGTATTTTATCTGCTTCATTATTCACACACAGAGACTGGCTGCTGCAGATTTTACACCTGGTTAGAAAAGACTAAACAGCTGTTGTTAACTTCATCAGAGATGAACTCATTGGACAACCCAAGCCAAAAGAGTTGGCCTGAGATAACTGCAACACATTGTCCAACGATGCCAGTTTCGAACAAAATTCACAGCCCTCATCTTTCTGTGACGCCACCTATTGATACAAAAACCACATTCGACCTGTTTATGTTTGCTGTTGTCTGGCCTGACAGCACATGTCTACAATCTGCCATCAGTCACTTTACCAGTAGGTTGTAAATTTTAGCTAGCATTAGACACATTAGCTCACGTGTGTCAAACTCAGGCTCAGGGGCCAAATCTGGCCCGTAGAGTAATTATATTTGGCCCATGAGATCATATCAAATGTGTACTAGAGTTGGCCTCTGGTTTTGGTTCGTTTTGTTGTTGGTGTGAAAAAATGATTGACATTAAAAAGGAACTGGAAAGGCTACAGATAAAGAGACATAATAAGAAACAAATACCACTGATGTGTGTTTTATTTCACATTTCCTTTCTCATGTGTTTAATTGAGTTCACTGGAGTCCCACCTAGTTTTTAGTATGTCAATTATTTTCACTACAGTTTACTGTTTGTTTTTTTTAGTTTGCTTGCTTCTCACTTTTTATTCTCACTTGTCTCACCATCTGTCTTGTTCTCACACTTTGTCAAGTATCTGATATACTGTAACTATCACACACACACACTATAACACACTTTCTAACATCGCAACGTCCGCAGTACAGATCGAGCAACACAGCATGGCAACAGGCTGACATTAGCGTCTGCTATCGCGACAACATGTCAGAATCTGCCAACACGGCTTCGCCATGGTAACAAGACATAACATCTCTGTCAGCTTTGTGGAAAATAAACTTCATGTCAGACGTGACACTGTGTTGTGTCGTGGTCTTAGAGGTCTGAAGCTCAAACCTGTTCTGCCTTGGTATACACTCTACAGGAGAAGGATGCTCT